AACCAAACTGATGAATAGCAGACAACCTACCTTGTTTTTTCCGCTTGGATGAGACAGTAGCTTGTGGTCTGACCCCAGATGAGCCTCATGTGAAATGGGGCATCATGGGGACTTGGCACCTCCTAGGCTCAGGCTCTGTATTTCTAATGCAGCAGATCTGCAGCTCCCGTGCAGATCACGTTCAGTTCACATGCTGGGGCTCGCTCACAGTGCCAGCCGTGGGGCAGGCTGGTGCAGGGACCCCCAGATACTCAGCTGTGGAAGGAGAATCCGGCCCAATTCTTGCATGGCATGACTACAAGCTCCCCTAGGAAATGCTGTGGTCTGTCTGGGAGTCATGGCCAAAGTCCAGCCCGCATGTATCTTGTGGCTCTTGGCCATCTGAAGGTTGCAGGGTCAGACTGAGGTGTGCCTGCCTTGTTGCAGATCAGAAAAAGAGTATTTGCAGCCTTGCGTGAAGGAACTCCCGGCCTGCAGAAAGCCCTACCTCATCTCAGATCAAAACCCAAATCTCTTCTGGTTTGATTTGTGGTACAGTCTCTGGAGTGCAGAAATAAGACCTTGTGTATGCCACTGGAGTGCAGGAATTATCAAAGTGCTTCACCTTGTGTGAAGCCTTTGATAGTATCCAGGACCTGAGAGTCATGCATCATGATTTTTCTTCTTTTGGTGTTTTGAGCCACGGAGATAAATACACCTTTGTCTTTGTCCCAGCCAGCAGCCCGTACAGCACCATTTGTAATTCAATATTAGTGTCTTGGTGTGACGTGGGTAGAGGGCACGTATCTGACTTGTCCTGTTCTCTGTGCCTTAGTCAAAATGCGGCAAGTGTGCAAAGGGGATCAAGTGTCCGCCTGGATCGGTTCTTGTGGTGAGTCTTTGATTCATGTGACATCTCACAGACTGTTTGCAGATAGTGCTTTGATGTCCTTTTACTGCTCTATAGATGTCATCTCGATACCTCAAAAAATGTGCCCTTGAGTCTTCTGTGGCTCACTCATTAGCAAGGTTTGTAAGAGAAAGCAGAAACCAAGGGATGCTTACGCAGGAAAAACACAACCACGAACCATGAGGCTCCTTACAGAGCTGGCAGCAGGCTTTGCCTGGATTTCGGAAGCTCTTTAGAGCATGCAGGGTGGGGAGTTTCCCCTTTTAGGAGGGAAGAAGAGATGTCTTTTTTTCATCTTTTACTCTTTTGACATTATCAAGGAAAGCCAGTTTAGGAGTGCCAATAACAATTTCCCAGCCTGGACCATGGATTTGTTCACACAGATGGGCTGGTTGTGCCTGCAGCTTGTTTGTGCGTGAGTGGCAAATGTTTCCAGAGAGGAAAACAACTAAACATTTCATCTCCGTGCTGGCTATGAATTGCCTAGCAGTGACATCTGGCTTCTTAGGCTTCATTGCTTTACTATATGCCAGAAATTTTCCCATTACTTTTTCTCAGTATTCACACTGACGTGTATACCATGGATTTGGCAGGTAACAAAATAGACTCTGTGTGGTGACCTCACATCTAGAGATGCCTCATTGGTCTTCAGCTCTGGATAGCCCAAATTTTGGGGGCTCTTCCTGTAGGATGAAAAGTGTTATTCCTCCGTTAGGCAAGAACACTGCCTTATGTGTCAAAATGTACAAGGTTTGTCTAAATATTGTAATATCTTCTATCTGTGTCCGTGTTAATTATATCTGCAGGAATTGCCAGGAAGCAAGAATCTCTCTCGCTGTGAGCTGCGCTCTGGGGATACAGCAATACTGGGCTGCCATTTCACCTGTGCAAAAGTTTCTCTGGTAAGAAAAACATTTGCCTTTCATTCATTTTGACAAAAGCAAGATGGGTATTAGAAATACAGCCATGGAAATACAGCCTGTGTGGAAGGTCTGGTTGCGTTTGTGCCATTGCGTAGCTGAGACTGGGCTTGTCTGGGTGGGAGCTGTTCTCCATTCTGGAGATAGAGGGCACTGGAGAAAAAAAAACAAATCTGCGGAAACGTCTGCGCAGTGATGGATTGTGGTCTGCTGCTTTGGTATTGTTGCTTTGAGTTTTGTCTTGCAGAGGAAGAGAAGGAGTTGAATGTTTGTAGTCTGGTTTCCTTAAGGAAATGAGGCATGAATGATGGTATTTTACTTGTGCATGTGCCTTCCCGAATAACTGATGACTAATTGGAGCCAAACCAAAGGGAGGAGCAGAAGGTCTCGCAGCTATTATGGCCGCTACAAGTTTTGTGAAAATGCATGGGTGGGAGAAAAAACTTGAAGAGGAAATAGTGAAAGAAAGACTTGTGTGAATTTGAGCTCTTATAGGTATTGAAGCATCTCCCTGGGAGGTTTAGTGGGAATGGGAGACTGAGGAGAAGGGAGAGAGGGAGTCAGACATACAGTAGTCACATGCAGAGCTTCAGTCAGCACTGGACACTTCTGCATCACTTTGTTAGATGATGTTTCTCTTCATCTGTACTGTCTAACTTGGTCCCATCATGGTTTCCTCCCTCTGTGGGTAGATGCAGAATGAAGTGAGAGCAGTTAATCAGGCTTCTGCACCAAATCACCTTTTGGCAGAGCCTTTCTCTGCCCAACGGAGTATAGTAATGGAGGGACACAGTAAGGACACAGGCAGGAGATAGCCTGGATGGGCAGAGGACTGAACATTTGCGTTACTCACCAAATGGCCGGTGTTGCTCAAGGACAGTGCAGACCTTTACATGAAGCTCTGGGCAACAGAGCACCCCATTTTAGGGGGTTCGCTCCATCTTAGCTGCGCGCATCCAGCCTTTTCATGTGTTTTCAGAAATTATGTCTATCACATAGTTAAAGGAATAGAGTAGCTTCCACAATAAAGCTATACCTTGTCTGCGCTGCACAAGACAGATCACCCCAACTTGTTCTTGTTGGTTCTTCAGAGATCCGTCTGCTGTCCCGGCTACTACGGACACATGTGCGAGATGTGCCCAGGAAAGCCAGGCCAGTGGTGCTCTGGGAACGGGGAATGCCAGGATGGCATCGAGGGCAGTGGAGAGTGCCGATGCCTGGAGGGTTTCCACGGCACCGCCTGTGAAATGTGTGAAGTGGGCCGATACGGAGTTGACTGCAAATCAGGTGACACTGGTGGCTGTTGGCAGCTTGCCTCTACCATCCTGCTTGCAAGGGGAGAAAATTGGCCACATCTCAGCTCTCGGGAGGGGTGGCAGGAGGGAGGCAATGTCCCAGGACCTCTGAGACAGGCGAACAGCTGGCAGACCACCGAGAGAGGGAAGCTTGTGAGCGCTTGTGGTCAGCCAGAGGAGTCGCCCCATTTTTCATCCTCAAACCAAGGCATGACTGACTGTGCTCTGCTGCTCGTACTGCTCTCACCCAGAGTACCGAAAGTAAAGGCGGGTGGTCTGTTCCTGGCCTTTTTGTCCTAGTAGCGAGGGAACAAGAGCTGATACACCTGTGACATTTTCTTTATGGCAGTTTGATGTGTTGGATTAGGAACAGAGCAGCCAGTGAAACGGCAGCAAGACCCTGCTTGTGAAACCTGGTTGGTTTGACAGTGACGAGTGTTTATATTTCCCCTGCAGAATGTGCCTGCGACAATGGCATATGTAACGACGGACTGCAAGGGGATGGGAGCTGCGAGTGTTTCCCAGGATGGAAGGGCCCTACCTGCCAAGAAAGTACGTGAGTGTGAAGGGGCCCATGGTGTAATACTGCCTTTTTGGCAGAGAAATCTGTGTTAGCTGAGCAAGGTGACCGCAGTTGCACATGCTTTGCATCCCCCCAAAAGCTTATCAGACTGTGCTAGTTTGTTCCTGCACAAACGCTGAATTTGTGGTGTGACTTCCCCAACAGCACATGAGCCTTGGAGTTATTTGGGTGAAATT